TGAGGACGTTGCACATGGAGATCTGACGTTGAAAGATTTAAAAAAAAAAAAAAGATGACCAAAGGTTTGATCCCTCTTGGTTGTCAGAGAGACGCAACCTTGAAAAATGCATAATATATACAGTACAAGCCCATTATTTTCTGTTTAAAGAAAACACTGGGATAAGTAAGATGCATAGTGCACAGACTGGCCAGCTATAAGAGCTGACAACACAGCTGCAAACAAAAAGCAGAATCAACAGGCAGAGCAGGGGCAGTTAAAAGCAGCCCCTTGTTGAGAGGCAGGCTTACTGTTGGAAGTGCAAAAGCTGCAAGAACAGGGAAACAAATCAGAAGGGCTGTAATAAGCACAACGGCACAAGCAAAATACAACTAAGGCTTGAATGCTAGTACAGCACACAGGCTCTGGCAGAGAATGACGGAAACATATACGGTGGGCACACATGCAAAGAAAAGCCTGTGACACATGATGACAAGAGGTAAGAGACGGTATGAAAACTGCAATTTGCCTCAAAGTCACTCACATATTGCGCCGCCTTAATCCAACCGCCTCCCTGAGTCTATACGGCGGCACAATACTACACAACTTGTTTGCTATTGAACATAAACATAAACACCAATGAATGAAAAATAGTCCAATTACAGAGGAGTAAAATGTGTCAATGACTAACTGACTTAAATTTTCCTCTTGATGAAAATGAGAAAGCAATTAGGGGACGTGACAGCGAAAGTCATTTGTCTTTACGGCTATGAAACAACAGTTTGCTTTTGTGTAGCTGGTGTCTCGCTCCCTTTTTAGAGTTCACGCTGACACGTTTGTGTTTGTCCGCTGACAGAAGAGAGAAGCCGAAGCTAATTCCTGAAAGGGTTGCGTGCGGAGAACTGTGTATCCACCAGCCGTACCTTTTTACACTTCGCTGTTACATTAAGGAACGCCTGCGAGCAAAAGCTGCGAAAGGACACTCTGATAAATGTGAAATAAATTATTACTATAGATCAGGCTCCTTCATTTCATTAATCATCTTCTTCCCTTCACCATCCACCAGTGGGCAAGAGTACCGCTGCATACTTCTTCCAAATGAATTTTCCCTGCTTGCCTTAATCTTTCTGTCTTTCTTGCTCTTTTTTTTTTCCCCGTCTTTCTCTGTGTCACTCTAAAATAATCCATGAGATGATGAAATTCTTTGTTTGTCGGATATGCTGAAACATTTGCAGGAATAATAGTGGACAAGGTGGTTTTTTGGGGGTTTTTTTTAGAGGAAAACAGAGGCGGTGGGAGGCGTTAAAGGTGGAGGGGCTTATATTTTTATTGCAGCACAGCTAGCGGGTGCATATTGAAGCTTGTTGGCTTCCCCGGAAGAAGGATTTTTATTAGCCAGAGGGAGAAGCAGGAAAGGAAACGAACAAGAATGACCGTAGGAGAAGGAAAAAAAGGAGAGCAAGAGAGCAATATTTGGCAAACGCTTCTGTTTAACAGGGCTGCCCAGATCCAAACACAGAGTTGGCCAGTGATTGGTCGGTTGCGGTTAGGTCTTGGCATGGGCTCCGGCGACAGCTGTTTGGAAATGATGGAAACCCCTGAGAAGGGAGACAGAGAAGAGCGAGACCGCGACAACAATCCAGAATTACTGTGAAATTCTGTTGTCCCCGACCATTCTCCCAACACAAGCTCCGAATGACGCAGAATGAAAAACAGAAGACGGAAACAAATCAGCAAAATGAGAAAAAAATAAATAAATAAAAAATTAAGACACAAATGGGAGACTTTTGTTGTTGCTGCACATTGCTGAAAGGAACACGTAATAATTGGATGCCTTCAATCTTAAGTTCTCCTCGGAGGCTTGTTCGGGGGCCTGTTTCATTCCACGCCGTCATCTTTGTCCAATGGGATAGATCATAAAGACATTAAGCGCTGAAGACAAAATGAAATTCGAGCGTGCACGCTATCAATGCGCCTTACAAGAAACGTATCAACTAATACACGCAAATACAAATAAGCCTATTTACTGGTAATCAGGCCATTTTGTGCAAATATGCCTTGACAGTGTAGGAACACTAATCAATGTGGTAATTACTCTGCAGTTTCTGCTTAATGTGAATCTGGTCACTTAACATGTGGTGTGTTTTACCCAACAGAGATCCAGATGGCAGCTTCACTATTCCTAACTGCCCTCTCACTGGATTATTACAGAACTGTGAGAATACAATGGGAGCGCGGTCCAAAGGGAACAAAGCTCAAAATACATCCAGGAGCCATTACGCAGCCCTTAGAGGAGGTCCGATTAGAGGAGGTCTGTTAATGGTTTTACCGGTGCTCACATCACACTTTTAGTCATCCAACAGAAGGACACACACGTTTCTTCATGCACATAATTGAGTTACGTTGTGTTTTTGAACAGGGTTGGAGCGGCGGTGGAGCAGCGGTAAACACCGTCACCTCACAGCAAGAAGGTTCTGGGTTTAAAGTCGCTGGTTGAATGGGGCCGAATGACGACTGGTGCTCCAGTTTCCAGGCAGCTGCACGTACACGACAGACATGTAATTTTTCTTGCTCGTGGGCATCTGCATAAAGGATTTACTTGTGTAAATCCGCAGTAGGTTGCATCTACATATTCCTAGAAAGCATGCACACTATTGCCCTTATATTTGTCAATGCAGACACACATTTTGGGCTGCACATGGATTTCCACTTATGGCTCCATGTGGACTTCTGTGGAGTTGGGGAGGTGATGAATTTTACATTGCGTGAACCCTCATGTAGTCATAGACACAGAAAGCGTCACACTAACCTTAACTCTTGTGGGGCTGTGTGCATCTGGCTGTCAAATCACATGTAAAGAACAAGCTTAGGTGACACTAGCAGCAGAGATGGTCCAGGATGGTCTCATCTCATATCGCAAGATCTGTCTTCACCAGGCTCTGTCTGTGTTTAAGAATGGACTGGCTATACCTCACCATCACTCTACTAAAAACACTTTGGCTTGTTGTATTTTTTTAAAGCAGTCACAGTCATAGCGGGCAGCTGCTAAGCCCAGGATGCAGTGATGATGCCCCCTCACAATAGGATTGTTCTGGTGGACCATTTGCATGCAGGGACAAGAGAAGTGTCATTAAAATGCCAAAATTTCTCAGAAAACTGCTCTGAGGTTTTAGTTCTTGTTTCCCATAGTGAAGCATATTTTGTAAAGAGTAATGGACAGATAAGAAAAGAAGGAGAAAGAAAAAGAAATTTACATCCTGTGAGGCAGACGAAAGGATTATAAACCATCTCAAAAACACCACCCGCTAGTTAAGTGCATCATGACATCTAATCAAGAGGTTGGGAATTTTACACCACAGCTCCAATACGGAGACACACATGGATCGACTGCATACTTTATAGAAAGCAGGGTGTAGCGACAGCTCTGAGGCAAAATTTATCCACATATTCATCATTAAGTTCATCTATATTTACTCCCCCACAGTACCAACATTATATTCTCACTGTCTGCCAGTTTATTTAGCCCCTCATCTGTGTATTGTTGTGAGTAGCAAAGGGTTCGTTTTCTGTGAAATGTCAGACTGCGAGTGAGTCAGCCGTGGCAGGTGTGTGGGATTGGCATATACAGTAAATCTCTGGTTAACTGTATAATGAGTTAAAGGGAAGCTCCTCCATATGGAAGAAAATATGTTCGAGCAAAACATGCGCTTTACAAACAAGATTGGTTGCCTTCAGCAGCCTGCACGGTTCAGGCACGGCGGGAACACACACGTATACAAAAAGGAGTGGATCGTTCAGAACCAGCAGATTTTTTTTTTTTTAGGAGGGGGGTTGAGCAGGTTGGTCACAAGCTTTTCAAAAAATAAAAAAATAAATCTGCAGCAAGTTTGCTCCAATGGTGAGAAATATCCTCTGAGGGGCTAAAAAGAGAGAAAAAAAAAAAACAAAGCCTCTCTCTCTCTCACCACCACAGGAATAGGTAGAAAGAGCAAAGCCAGCTTGTAATGGATAATATGGTGATTGCGGAGCTCTGATGAGGCGCTCTGCCTTCTATTAAAGGTGCTGTGCTTGGAGCATTTCACTTTCACCCCTAAAATGCTGGAGGGCAATGACTAAAAAGAGGCGCACGCACTCTCTCCAACTCGTACAGTGGGCTCCACATGGATACAGATGCACTGAAAGTGAGCTGAGGGCTGCACTCGCATGTCTCCTGACGTTGTGGATGGGAGGTTGGGATGTAAAGAGGAGCTGGGTTAATAAAGCGTGCTTCATTTGCTGATGAAGTCTTGATGCAGAAGTGGGTAGTCTTGCTTTAAGACATGTGATCTGACTCTCTCTCTCTCTCTCTCTCTCTCTCTCTCTCTCTCTCTCTCTCTCTCTCTCCATTTCCAGCTGGGCTACATTGTAATACACACACACATGCACGCTCACTCACACTCGCTCTGCCTGTCTGACACAGACTCTCTACTTAGAGCGCTGGAGAGAGGACTGAGGCTCACACTATCAGCACAGCTTCTCAATGGGGGGATGCAGCCAAGAGCAGACAGAGCAGTCATTCCACTGGAGCCTTCCGCTGCACGCGTGAGAAGGAGACGACAAGTGAGGAGGGTAAATTAGCTCCCTGTCATCACAGCATAGGAGTTTTACTGACGGGGGAAGAGACACTGAAGGAAGGAGGAGGAGATCCGCACCAATGTGGCTGATACAGCAGTGACATGATCAGCTTTCCATCCCTTCAAACCCTTGGCCAGTTTGTGACACCGACCCCTGGGTGTTTTGGGGGTTTTTTGGTGACTGTTTGAAGGATTTCAAGAGGACCTGAGCAGCAGCAGCAGCAGCAGCAGCAGCAGCAGGGGTCCAGAGGAGGGAATATTAAATAGGTGGGGGAAGGAAAAAAAAAAAAGAAGAAAAAGACAGAACAGCAACAGCACCTTTTTGTGTCTGGTGCTACTGGAATTTCAGGCGGAAATCCCTGGCTTCAAAGTATGGATGGATTTAAGACAGAGGAGTGAGTCTGCTGGGCAGGCGGGCAGGCAGTGATTCTGACTGAACTCCTTTCCTCCTGAACACACTGCTCAGGTAAGACTTTTGAGGAATGCCTCTGGTGTTTTGGAGATGGGATGGGCGAGGCAGAGGGGGCTATTTACAACCCTGTACAAAATGCATTTAAAAGTATGTGTGAGTGGAGAAAAGATGACATTTCCTGTTGTCGGAACAGCTTCTTCTAAAAATCATCCTGCATTTTATGAACATTTCTGTAGCAGTAGCATGTTGCATAAGTTTTAAACACATCTTTAAATGGAGCGAATCTAACAGTGGACATGCTGAAAGTGTGCTAAAAGATGTATGCAGCTGTGAGGCAGGAGCTCCTGCTGAGTGATTCTCTCCTGTTGTATAACAATCAGACAGGTACGTGTCTGTCAGTTATGGCTGGAGTTGTTTCCACAGCAGATAACGTGCAGTCTGGGGGGGGGGGGGGGACCAAAACGCGTCTTATTTAGTTAAATCAGCTTTGCGCGCAGGTGCATCAGTAGTGTATGCGCCTGCAGGTGTTCCTGCTGTTCTACTATCTCACGCTGGACTCACCAGTTACGCACACACACGAGCTGTCGTGTCTCGTAGCTGAATCCGAAATTGAATCGCGTTTGTGATGGATATTCAGGAAAAGCTTTAGGAAATCAGGCTGCGCTTGGACTTTCTTTTTCTCTCTCAAGTCATGATGCCCTTTATTTGAAAGTCTTTCGTGCGCTCACCCCCCTCTGGTTGAACAAAAAAGAAATAAAGAAAAAAGGCTGCTGGTAACAACAATAACCACATTTTCATGTTTCGGCAAGAACGCTCTCCGATCGCCGGGAGAAGCTCCGAGTCTCTGTGCAAAACGCAGTTAACCATGCAAGCGCAACGGCTCCTTTGAATATATAAATCCATCCTGGCGAGGAGAACACACTGTGTGGCTGTGAGTTAAAAAAAATCAAATAAATAAAAAGAAGAGGGGAAAACAAACCCATGGGACCAGTTCACATTTCCTCAAAACCCGCGGATTATGTTGGATTTAGTGCAGGGGTGGGGATTTACAAAGTGCTGTTAATAATTACGCTTAATTTTCGCTGAATATTGAGCAGCCTCAATGTCAGTGAGGGTACAGAACACCCCAGTAACATTTAGCAGCCTAATGGCTTTAATCTCAGATCCACATGAAAACACAAAGTGCTTCAGTGTGAGAAAGCAAGCAGTGGCTTTGGATGGAGATAACTTATTGGATCATCACTGCACTTCTTAAAAAAAAAAAAGATATTTGAAACATTTCTGATTTCACAGACTCAGTTTTCAAACATTATACTGCTCATATTTGAAGTTTATATTGAACAGACTCCTCATTGTATAAAGATGCTATAGAATGAAACATTTAAGGTGCATTAAATTCACATTAGAGCTTCAGACTCTCTCGGAAAGTTGCCACCTCAGTGTATATGTGATATCAGAATGGTTATCACACTGGCCCAACAGCTAGAAAAAAATCCTTCCTGATCAGGATGTAGGATGCAGTCCTATAAGTCAGAGGCAGGGAGCCTCGACACGCCGAGCCACAGTTTGTTTTAGAGGAGGTGGAGTGATGCTTTATAAACTTCCCACTGCAGGGTTCTGAATGGAGAGAAGCGCTAATAACACCTGGAAAGGAGGAGAGCCTCATTATTCAATAAGGGCCAAGGCGTGTCTCCATATGCTGGCCCTCACCAGCCATTAGGCAGTCGCTGAACAAATCTGCAAAAAGAAAAAAAAAAAAAAGACAAAAATATGCTGCTGGTGCTTAGAAATGCAGTCTTTTGTGAAATTTTTCGAATATGCAGGGCGGAAATCTCGCCGCTGCTGCTGTTAATTATGGTAGTTTTCTCAAAAAGAGATGACAGTGCTCATTATAAAATTCTTACAGTCTGACAAAGAGATTGCTGCAGGTTATTTCCTTTCTTCTGTATTTCATCTCTCTGTTTTTTTAAAGACTGCAGCAGGTTTGGACAAGACAGATATTGAAGAGATTAAGTTTGTGTTTGATCATTTTGTTCGAGTCTTTTGTCTAAAGGGATTTTCCTTCCTTCACCCCCATGTCCTCTTTTTCTTTTCATTCGCTGTATTATTGGAGAGCATCCATCCACATAGCTCGAACTAAGTCGCAGCAGTATTGGTAAAAAATATATAGCTGATATCAGTGTTTTAGTTTAGCACATGAGATAAACACAATGTGTGCAGTAAGTAACTATGGAGACATGCTTTGATACCAACTCTGTTCCTCTGTTGTTTCCCCCCCTGCTGTGTGCCGTCCTGCAGACTCGGCCTTACCATGTCCTGGTTGTTGGCCATGTGGATTAGCCTCGGCTTCCTGCTGCTGTGCCAAGCCACACTCTACCAGACCATCCAGCAGCACCATGTGGCCCGGCCCGGTCGCACTGACATCCTCACCCTGGGTACGTGCGCCTCTTTTGTCAGATTTCGGCTTCACAGCTCAGCGTTACAGTGCGACGTGTTGTCCTCTCCGTGGGGCAGCAGTTGTCGGTTCGGGCTGTTTGAGAGCAAGAGACTGCTGCAGTACGTCAGACTGATTTGCCATCGTACTGTACTTTAACACGGTGATTCACTGCGCTCACAGCCATACAGGATGAACGAAGCGGAAAACCGCTAGTTTTGCTTCTAATTGCATGCTTCGTACTTGTGATTTGTGCTATTTTTAGAAGAGATCTGGTTGCTGAAGTTCGGTTCTTTGGCTGAGCTATATGCTTCTGTTTAGATCTCAACACGGAAGCCTGATAGAACAGCTTCTATCATCGCGAGTTAGCTAGTAGGGAGATGATTCATATGTGCGGTGAGGAATTCTTGACTACTGCACCCTGGATTTTGCTGGCAGACTGCTACGAGTAGGACAAGCTGTAGGCAAAAATCCCTATTACTGTGCTGGTAGCCAGGGGAGCTTTGATCACTGTGGCTTAGATAGAAATGACAATTATGTTTCCCTCTTTTGCCCTGGAAACGTTTGGCAATTAAGCCCGACGCCTTTTGCACCGTAGGGGCTAAAGGGGAGGGTAGACGCAGAGGCGGATCTAATTCTCTTATTATGGAAAAGCTTACCAGAATTGCTTATGGTGTATGTGGGAGTGTTACAGGGAAGGCAAAGGTTTTTTAGAGCAAAGCAAATGCTTTCCTTAAGCTTCTAACAATGAGTGTGACTTCCATGCTGAACCCTCGTGCAGAGTGGGGCTTTCTCCGGATGCCAGGCGGCTGTTAAACATTGATGTTATCTTCTGCTTGGTTCCCCTTTTGTGTGTGTTGCATTGCCAAGTAAAAAGACAGTAATTGAAGCACAGCAAGAGGAAAAAAAAAGATCCGGCATTGAATCCTCCATGCTCGTGTTGAACATTGGTGACTTTAAGCAGCGTGTCAGAGAATTGGCTTACTTTTCGCTGGGAAACAGCTGACACATGAAAATCCCAGCTATGATAGCTAGAAAGTTCTCAAAGTATCCTGGCCTCGTTAATTGGAGCAAGAGGGTAAGGGATGAGCTGAGAATGAATTTTTAAAGGCTGGCTTCCAGTTTTCTTCTTCTTTTTTTTTCCCCCCTTCTTTTTTTGGTTTAACTGGTTGGCAAGTCAAGCTTGGTGCCAAAGATATACAAGGAAGTGCAAGGCTCAGTAAGTGTCTTTTTTGAATAATGCAGCGGTCCCAAGGGGGAAGAATGGAAGAAAAATAGTTGTTGCCCCCCAGCCCCCACCGCACCCCGCCCGTTGTACATCTAGAAGAGTCACCCAACCAAAAGACGGTGACGGGTAAGGGTTCTGGAGGGTTTCCTGTCAGACAAATCAGCTCACACACTTAGTGCACATGAGGCTACAGACATGTACACGCTCGCACATTTACACGCCATTTTCTCACCGAGGCCATTATGGCGTGGCATTTTCATGGGTCCTCCGAGGATACTGGAGCTGTGCTCAGGACACATCAGGTCTGAGAGAGGATGCAAGCTTACACTGTACAGATGGATGACAAACACACTCTCCGCTGATTTGATCTGTTAAAGTCTCAGATTTCTCAAGCCGAGCCACTCAATTTTGAATAACGTCACCGAGAGGTAATGAAAAGAGTGGTGTTTTTACAGCAGACACAGCAAGGCCGATCGAGTGTCGTGTGGAAAACTTTTCAAGTTAACAAACGGCTGATGGAGGGCAGCCATAATTGCTGCTGACAATCATAATCTAAAGCTGTGTTATGATCTTTTACTGCCCTAATCAGCAGACTTCGGGGTAATGGTCTATCACAACTTAGAGAGAACGTATTTCTTTCTCTCTCTTTCTTTTTTTTTGTGTGTTGCTTCTGCTGCTCTGCAACTGTACAATTTACTGTATATCATGTTTTTTTAAGAGGATTAAACTGACATCAATCTTACTCAGCCGTGGAGTGGCGTTAACCGATCTAACCAGAACTGCTCTCTCAGAATTGAAATGCTATGATGAATATTTGAATTAGAATTGATTTTATAATTTGAGAAGCTCTCTGGTTTCATTGAGGCCAGAACCCTCAGATATAAATAGATATGGCTATGTAGGACGTGGCAAAAAAAAAAAAGAGATGTCTTGCCTTGAAAAAAAAAAAAATCCATCGACTTTCATGCTTTGCTGTTTTCTGTAATCAAATAATGTTTCTGTGTTGCTAAAGAATGATGTGATAAAGCTGCCTGCCATACTGTAAATTAAGTTGTAGAATAGATTTGTTAATGAAGCATGTGAAATGAAGCATATTCAGTGCTGACAAAAAGATGAATAGAAATACCGTTTCATGTTAGACTCATCTGTTTCCTGAGGTTGTTAATTCATAATCGTAAAATTTCATTGATGGCAAAACAGTGGGTGAAGCTGCTCTGATGTGTCATTCCTGCGTTTTCTTCTGGACAGTCACAAGCTAAGTTAGAGGTGAAATTGAGGGTTGGTATCTTGTAAGAAATCATACCCTGAAATAATTTTTTGTGGATCTTGGAATGCAGCCCGACAGGTTGTCTGAGAGACCGAGTGGTACAAAAACTAACATCCATCCAGCATAGACAAAAATACACAAGGAAAAGGGCTGTGTGGGTGTCTGAGGCGGGGAAGTGAAGGTCATGTTATCCTCCAGCCTGTTGAAGCATCTAACAGTGTTTGAGAAATCTGCTTATCTGCCTCCTGCAACAGTAAGCTGACAGTGCATGCTAAAGGAAAAAAAAAAAAAAAGTGACTATAGAGGTAAAGTTTCAAGATTGCATTTATTTATTTTTTTCAAATGTTTCCGTGACAAATCGGCATAGTCACCGCTGAGGCGGAGATTGAGTAACGAGTTGCCTGACTGCTTCGTCACCTGCTCAGGAAGCGGCGCCGCACTCCTTTCCCATGAGCCCCTGCTTCGCACAGTCTCCCCCTGCGTCCTGCTCGTGCGGCTGAAGATTGATGGTGCCCTGATTCTGGGCAGCCAATTCTGGTCTCTCAAGAAATAATCCACTACATTGACAGATGAGCTGAATGTGACATGACACACACAAGCCTGGCTATGCACTCTCCCCACCTGCCAACACAGTGAGCACAAGCGCTCGCTGCCAAGACTGCCGCTGCACAAACCAGGCCACTGTTGACAGCACATAGCACTGGACTCAATCACAAGTTGCTGAAAGTATGAAACCAATTCACGCTGTCAGTGCATCGCTGGCAGAAGTTAATTTAGATTTGGTGCCTTCAAATGATAAAAAATGTAAGTGTCCCTTAATGTGCTGAGTGTTTTGTCATTAAATTACACTTAGCAGGTACTGTATTTATTTACACTTGTTCCACTGATGCATGCATACAGTTCATAATATACCAATACCCAGAGGGGCAGTCGGAATATAACAACACTTTAGCTGCTGCTTTGTTTTATTATGACTCTGACAGGGCAGTTTAAGAGAATCTCAGATCTAATAGAACAGGTGCAGATGTAAAACTAACTCTACTCTGTTGTGCTTTGATAGCAGTCTGTTGCTGACGTTTTGTTTGACCGTTTTTTTTTTTGTCAGCCCCGATGACAAGGCGGCACAGTAGACATGTGCATTATTACTGAGCTGCACTTCACATACGATTAAAACCCCCTTATTATGTAAGTTGCCAGCTGTTCTTCTAAAAGAATATCATAATCAAAAGCTGAAATGAAATGTGATTGAACTGGGAGTGGCAGTAGCCGTAGACATGCTGATTTTGCATGAAAAAAAATGTCCGACACAGCAACATAAAGAAGGGGTTATGATATAGCTGAAAAGGGCTGATAACTAATGCAGCGGTGCTGCTCTTATGCTTTCAACCATTGATTCGAAATGGCTTGTAAAGTCTAATCTCGGATGATTGGTTTGCACTTTAATGAGCTCATTGTTCAATGTGCCATGATGCTTCCTCAGTGTAGCAAAGTCTTTGAGGTGGAAGGAAACATGTAATTACTTTGATTAGCCGAGATGCGTCGTATGGTCGAATAAGAGCAACAGTGTGATCACGAGCAAGGATGTATTTGGTAAATTAAGAAACGGATCTTCAGCTTCACAAACACATCTTGTCAAATTACCGTACTGCTGAACTTTGTGTGTCTGTTGAAGCTGCGGTGAGATCTAAGGATGGAGGTTTTCTAGGAAGAGGAAAATCTGACAGGAGACAGGGTGTTGAACCTAAACCTCGTACTTGATTTAAGGTGGCTGTCTTTTTTTGGTAAATGAGGATAAGGGAGAAGTCTGAAAGCTATACATAGTCACGGTATGAATTGATTTTTTTCTCTCTTTTTTTCCCTTTCTTTCCATTGCCAACGCATGGCTGCTTCAGAAGATTTATGATTTTCCTGGCAGTGTTTGGGAATGCTGAGAAATTAACTTCACTGACTCACAAACCGAACGCACGCAGTTTTCAGCTCATTTCCATAGTTGTCAGACTCCTCATTACAGTAGCTCAGCGTAAGCAGCAGAAACATGGTAGCGAACATGCTCTTTCTCTTCACAGTCATCTTCAAAGTGGTAATCTTTCTGCTTTGCCACTTCTGTGGAGGTGTAAGAGACTCCATCCATACTACCAGCAGGAGCGTTTTTCCCACATAGGCTGGCGATGTGTTTTTGTTTTGCCATTAAATCAGCTTTATTTACATCCTCATTAAACTGTGGGGACTAATTAGTGTGAGAATTGATGGTGAAAGAAAATTCAATTAAATTACAGTCACTTGAATAGATGACGCCTTAATCGTATTTTTTTTTTTAAAGTGGATGAAAAGAAATTGTTTGATCCGGTTGGCAGCGTCGGCTCATGTGGAAATACAGTATAAACACGTGTACACACATTCAGATCATTGCTGTCCAAGGCTGCGGAACAACCTTTTCGTGAGAGTGAAGCCGCCGTGTGTTCTTATCCATGCCGTTTTGTTTGACTGAATATTCACTCGCATGTGT